CGGCGTGGGGACCATGTCATGCAGCCGTATAGCAGTGCCTCCACTGCCTCCGCCTGGAGCAGGCGGGCTTTGAGGCGAAACGGTGCTCCCGGTCGGTCGAAGAGCTCCGTGGCGTATCGCTTAATGCACGCCCACGCTGCTTTGCTCCTGTGGTTGATCTCTCGGGTAAGGTCGCCCTGCTCGTTGACGAGGCCGCCCAGGTATCGGAACTCGGTCGTCTGTGCGTACCTTTGCCCCGCTGCTTCGATGGTCAGCACCGGCGGTGGCGGCGGCGGCGGTCGCTATAGTATGATGTTACAACAGCGAGCCAAAACGAAAGGCCGTGAAACGTGGACCCAGTCGTCCCAACAACAGCAGCATGTGCCTTGAGAGTTGATGGAGAGCGTATCATTCATTTCACGTAACGCACGTAGCGTCCGCCCCTTGGGCTAGCTCCACACACCGCTTTATCCGTTGGTCGGCGAGCAATATGGACCAGTTGTACGCTCTTGGTAGAAAGTGTTACGAACTAAATCGCGCTCTTATTTAGTAGAAAGTGTTGGGAAACCAATCACGCGTCAGACCTCGGTGGTGTTGATGCCGTATCATCGATGTGCTGCCACTCGCAGCTCTTGAAGAACTACAACACAAGCCCACGGCTGCTCCAGCATCCAAGAGAAAATCAACCCAATCACCCACTGGACGAGCCACTCCTACACGTAGCACGGCCTCCAGAAGCTCGAACTAACAGAAAATCTTAGAAACTCGACAAATTTTCTTTTAAAAACCGATTGACCGTGCCAAGCCAGTTCACCTCTGTTTAACCCGGACTTTCTGTTAAACATCTTTATGTTAAACCGTAGCCGCTACTGCTGTAGTGTGTAGGTATTTGTTTTTCCTGACACATATCCTCACCAAAAGATTATGTACCCCTTCCGAGGTATTCCATGTCAGTCAAACGGGATGTGCTTGTTAGTGAATATGTGCAACCCTCCCGTTCTGCTCCGATAGGTGTGACCACGTGCAGCAGTGTACATATAAATCCTGGTCTAAGTTGGAAGCAACCTGCTGCAAAGCTCGTTGTTAGTAAACTGATCGACCTCATTGTCGACATCGACTTAGCTGTCGCGAGGGAAGGGAGTGCTCTACCCTCGCGATAAAAATATCTCAGGCAGGCACCGCAGGAGGTAGGTGGGGACAAACGAAGATAAAAGATAAGCGTGGGTACCCCCTCCTGTGTGACCCCGGACGGTGCGTCTAGCTAGTTGTAGACTACCAAGTACGCTGAGAAGTGTAAGTGCACATACGCGGCACACTCTAGTGTGCCCCGAAGAGGAGTAAGCAAGAGGCGCCAAAGATGGGACGGGAAAAAAAACATGTATGCAAAGTCAGTTCTGGTTCTGGTATCGCAAAGGCACCCACTGCTTTGCTGTACCTGGTAATTGTAACCCCCCTTACAACTGGCGTTTGCTGTACCAGTGCCCAAATGCGTCTGTGGTATTGGTACAAGTGCCACATGTTTCAGTAGCATTCGCAGGGTGTTTGTATTAATTAAGTAAACTTGTCGGATAAAGCACGCAATCGGGGAAGTTGGGTCAGGGTCAGGGAGCAAGGTCTACGCGTTGTAACCCCCGACGTACCCACTCTTTTTTGGGGGTACGGTAGGATCTAGTTTTGCTCTCTGGAAATGGACTTGCCTTACGACACCGCGGCCGCCGAGTGCCGCATTAGAAAACGGGAACGGCTGCTTGTCCATTCGCGTACTGTACACAAGCAAGCGCCAGCAGATTTTCAAGCAAGGGTGTGTTCGTTAGGGTACGTACCGAGTACCGGTATTTTCATGTAATCTACCGATCGTCTCGGGACTCTTCGGTTCGGCTTCCATATCTCCTATACCCGAAAATCTCGGTACGCCCGGTACAGCCCTATATATCCTACCGAGCGTACCGGTACCTTCCCAAGCGAACACACCCTTAAGAGTTTGATGTACATGCGCACACATGCGAGAGCAACGAAAATCATCCTGTTGTAGAATGGTCAAGCGCAGAAAGTAATGAAGCAGCAAAAGGGCAGAGGGATCCAATCCCCACGAACGGGAAGAGATTTCATGGCAAGAAGCTACAATGGCAGTACCGAGAGAGGGGGCGTTGCCGAGAATAGCTTGGGAGGCGGAGTCGGAAAACAAGCCAAGGTGTATACCATCCACGGCAGTGGGCCAAGGTTAATGTCGTAGAGCATGTATGGAAAGGGTTCGAAATCGACGAAGTCGATACGCGTTGGAAACGGTCGGCCAAGAGGAGTTGAAGCAAGAAGGAGGTGTCTGTTGTTGCCGAGAGAAAAACAACGGAATCTGCGGGAGAATAAGAATCCACGGGAAGGGAAGGTCTAGATGTGTACGGAATGTGGAAAGAAGAGAGAAGGTCAACAAGTACCGGCGTAGACCAGTGGATGCGGGGCGAAGCTCAAGGTCAAAATTATGTTTTAGTACTGCGGACACTGGCCGCCTTCGCGAACACTGACGAATAGATTAAAGAAGTGGGCTAGAAGTCGGGAAGTGATATCGATAAAATAGATGGGATGGGAAAAACAGTTTAGATAAGCCACCTTTGGCAAAGTAGGAAGGAACGATTGGCCGCCGGTGATGGGTCCTGTGGGAACAATACCCCGTTCTCTTGTGGTCATTGGTATACTCCAACTAAGGCATGCACACAACATGGCTACCCCCCGCAATACTGATTTCTACATAGGATCGGCGACGTCTGTTCAATTTTCCGGAGTCGCCTATCGGCACGGGTACTGATATCCGATTACGGGAACAGTACCGCACGCCCGCGGCTTGATGCCCCGGCGTTGCGACCCTTTGAGTCTGAGTACACAACTATTGGGGATATCTAGGACTAAGGCTTTTGACGCCTCTGATTGGTCGGCCGTTGGTTCAGCGTACGAGTACACACTACCCTTCTTCCCCTCGCTGCCTGGGGAAGGTTTTGCGTAGGCATGACCCATAGCGAGGGGGTGTACTCATAGTCGTGCAAGTCGTGCATGCGACCCATAGCGAGGGGGGGGTCTTTCTAGCGAGCAGGGCTAGACTCACCCTCAAGGGACCGATACATTCTTGCTGCGGCGCACCCGCCGCGAGGCGTGCGTAGTGGTGGAGTTGGGTCGGCACTGGTGCGTCAGGTACAAAGGTGCAGATGCGCGGGCCTTTCTGGCCGTCGGTGTAGGCAGCAATGCCCATCTCATCTTTGTGCGCGGAGGCAGACATCATCAGAAAGGTGGACGGGCACTATGTACACGGCCCTAGGTTTGCTAGAGGGAGCTGTACTTACTGTGTCAGTAGCCTGGTTTTGCCATCAAAGGAGGAGGGCACAGGTGGTGACGAGCTGATTGGGCTGGTTGACCCTTGGGCGCAAGAACTTTCAGACCAAGAACCCTAGGTGCAACGAGGGAGAAAGCGAGGAACCGCTTGGGAAGGACAGCAACGAGAGCGTGTACGAAGCGGAGCGGGTCGAGTTTGGTCGTGCTAGGACTGGCCACAGCGGAACCGGAGCATGCGGACGGCATCGAATCGTGGCGCACGGACAAACATCTCATGTGTTGTCAATTTTTTTTCCGTTTTTTTTCCTGAATATATATAGGTGTTGGGTGTGTGTGATGACGTCACTGGTTTTGTAGAGAGACGCGGCAGAGATGGCGCGGATAAACCGGGTGCCTTAATTGTGTACCTGCATCGTGGAAGACCCCTTCAATGTGGAACGATTCCTAGTCAGTGTTGATGTTTACACTGCTGTGCCTTACACAGATGATCTGGATAGATTCGGGTGATTGTCAATTGTTGCATTGATGGCTTTGGTTGGGTGTTCTTCTTCATTGTATGTCCACGGACTCATTCTGACAGCACTTCAGACAGCAGCTGCATGCCCCGAGCTTGTGTACCACGTACCATGGTGTTATAATTGTACAGACAGCACTTCAGACAGCAGTACGCTGTAGTCGACAAACAGTCATTTTTGTTAAATGCGGGACAAGGGGTGTGAAGCTGCTGCTGTAGTCGAATTGTAGTGTGTGGGCGTGCAGTTCGGTTGTGAGCACGCAAACGTGCTGCAGAGATTGTAGGTGTACCTCCTCGGGCTTGTGTACCCTTTTCTTGGTAAATAGTGTGTGTTCTTTAGATCTTCTGATGGCTCTAGCATTTTTGTGACCACGGACCGAGTCTTCGCTAGATTTTGGGATTAGCAACTGACACGAGTTTAATGGAAGAAAAACGACAACAACAACAAGACTCCAGCGCCCTCTCTCTGTTTCCGCATTCGGCCGCGTGCTCGCCCAGTTCGCGGCCACTAGGCCGTGCTTTGGCGGTGGGTGAGGGTTAAGTCTTGAGCGTTTTCGACGAAAAGCAGCAGCGACGGCGGCGGTTCTGTGAGCCAGTCCTACCCCCCCTTAGGGTTAAGCTTAGGGTTAGGGTTAGGGATCCTTCTGAAGTATTTTGTTTTTTTCTAGCCTCGGAGATGTAAGGCCACGTTGGATGTTACACCACACTGATCTCGATGGGACATCCTCATACGTTCGTCCCGAGTGACGCAGCATTTCTCTCTACACGTGAAGCAATCGACACGTTATGTTAAACCTTGAATACGCGACGTTTACCGAACTGCCCGTAGTACACTCCTTGGTCGTGCTTCTTCCCGCAACTTTCGTGGTGCTTTGTTCCACATTTCCCACGTCTTGGATTTCATATCTTGCCGTATTTTCCTCGTGTCTTGCACATATCATGTCGTACTTTATCTCAAGTCTTGTACTGGGTATCATGCCGCTTATACGATGTCTTGCACGTGTCATGCCGTCCGCGCGCGCAGGTCCTCTACGGCTGCCTGTGGCTTCACGAGCGCTACTCCAGCCGGACCGCCTCCACGTCGGAAGATGTGAAGCAGCTCTCCGATGCCTCAGCTTCTGGATCCGGCGCCGCTGTGCCCGCAGGCGGCGGCGACGCTTCAGCTGCGGCGCCGAAGGCGCCGGCAGCGGCGGCCGGAGGGGGTCACGGGAAGGTCCTCTCGGAACCGCTGTCGCGGACGCTGACGTCTGTGCGGGCGTTCTCGCGGGAGCTGTCGCGTCTGGGCCTTCTCATCACGTTCGCGTACATGTGTGAGCACCACCCGCCGTTCGCCCACGGCGAGAAGGTGCGGCTGCGTTCGCAGGGTAGGGTTTTCGGTTACAATCGGGGGAACTTGGGAGGAAAGCTTACAATCGGGGGAACTTGGGCACCAGTAGCCTTCTCAAGTTTTTTTTTTTTCCACCAAGAAACATGTTGGATAAAGCTTACAATCTGAGGAAGTTGGGTACCAGCAGCCTTTGCAGCATTTTTTTTATCACTCACGTAGACATATTGGGTGAAACATGCAGTCGCGGAAGTTGGAGTCCCAGCAACCTTCGCCATACTTTTCTATGAAGTGCACACGTTGAGTAAAGCATACAGTCGGGGAAATTGGGTTATATGAATAGGGTCGGCGTACCTCCCTGCTCTGTTTGCTCGTAAAGCTTTATTTTTCGGAAAGCCGGTCGCGTGGCTGGGGCAGGAGCGGCGGGCCGCCTAGCCGAGAATTTTATAATGTTACTGTGAAAACAGAGAGGGGGGGTTGTATCCCCTGCCCCAACCCCGTACCCCCTGCTAAAACCAAGCTTGCTATCTCCGCGAAGGGTGTGTAGTTTTTGTTTGGCGGATTGTGCGAGACACGAGCAGCCCCTGGAAGGCTGCTGGGAGCGGCGGCGGTGCTGCTGCTTCTTTTGTTTCGTGGGTAGGTGTGGTTGATGCCCCGCGGGCATCAGGCGGTACCCTCAAAAGTCTCACCTGAACCTTGCTCTCTTCTCTTCGTTGGCGGGGCTTTTTTTTTTTCCGTGACAGGCCCACGACATGGACATGTTCTGGTGCGTGGCGCTGATGCTGTTGGTGTCGTCGGTGCTGAACGTGCGCAAGTCGAAGGGCGGGGACGTGCTCAACAGGGAGCAGACCGAGGAGTGGAAGGGGTGGATGCAGTTCATGTTTCTCATGTACCACTATTTCTCCGCGCACGAGGTACTACCCAACCGACCTAAATGGTACTCCTTTACGGCAGCATATGTCGCTTGCTAGGGGGTTCTGTCTTATGTGTGCGTAGCACTAGATATCCGCTCGCAAGGTATGTGCCTTCTGTAGTGTTGCCCTACTGAAGCAAAGCCGTATCAGCGAGGGCACCAGTTCGGGTAGAGGAGCGAGGCTCGATTGTGTTTTCCGCTGGGGTTTCGTCATCGAGTTATGGCATCGCCCGGTATGTCCCCATTCCTTGCCAAGCACGCGAGGAGGAACCTGTTTCTGCGAGTCTTTGTCCGAAGGCGTGGCGTGCGGGGGTGTTCCACCTCATGATGGCGTTTTTTCTTCCCTCCAAACATCCCCATGGCTCCTTTTGATTGTGGCAGGTTTACAACTCCATCCGCGTGTTCATCACGGCGTACGTTTGGATGACCGGCTTCGGGAACTTCAGCTTTTTCTACCTCAAGGTGGGTCATGCGGCGGTCAAGTCCGCTCCGCCAGCGGTTACTATGGCCTCACAGCATCTACCGGTGTTTTGCGTGTAAGGTGTCGCTGTCTACAGTTGCACCCTTTCTTGCCCTTATTGTGTGAAGGGAGGTTTTCAACCGTTGTGTGCTGAACGCGATGCTGGTCTTCCCCGCTCTTTTTACTGTGCTTGACAACGCTATAACCTACCCGTCCCCCGTCAATACACAAGCTGCTCGCGTGTTTGCGCACGCCTTGCCCGCAACCTTTGGTGACTCAACTCGGCCTTTTTTTTTTTTGCATCGGCGCCTATGCTTGTCCCATCTCACCCACTCCATTCTTGTTTTCGGGACAGGGTGACTACGGCGCGGTCCGCCTCCTCCAGATGCTGTGGCGGCTCAACTTCCTCGTGATCCTGCTGTGCATGGCCATGGGCAACACGTACATCCTGTACTACATCTGCCCCCTGCACACCTTCTACTTTTTCGTGGTGTACGCCATCATGTCGCCCGCCAAGTCGGCCAACTACACTAAGAACGGCATGCGCTGGAAGCTGCTTGTAGCCGGCTCGATCATATTCTGCGTGTGGGATTGGGACCTCCACATTTTCGAAAAGGTGTGTTGTTGTTGTTTCTCACATTAGCTCTATATATAGTCTAGTCCACGAAAAATGGGGAGCCCGTGGTGTGAAAACCCGGCACATACGACGTGTGTGCGTGTTTGTTTTTTCATGCTGTAGTTTCTGATGGTGTATTTTTCTTACGAACACAACAAACACATCTCTTCCACTCCAGACAAGCGTACGTGGTGACAAATAAGCAATTAATCTATTGTGTTTTGTACGCTTGTTGTTGTTGTTGTTGTTGTTGTTGTTGTTTCTTACATTAGCTTTGTAGTCCACAAATATGGGAGCCCGTGGTCGCAAAGAACCCGGCACATACGACGCCGCGGGGAAACAAAACGAAACCGTAGACATACAAGTAGCTTTTCGCTCACGCTATGGGTTCATTGCTAATCTTAGACTTGTTTCTATAGATGGAGATGTATTTGTTGTGTGATATTAAGAAGAAAAAAAAGAAAGGGTACAAACCACTCGGAAGAAAGAAATAAAACGATTGAAAGGAGAGAACAGCTGCCGCACCGACCGGTCGAGAAAAGAGCCCTCCGAAACCGATCAAAATACAACAAAACAACAATAAAGATGAAAACAAAAATAAAGGAGGACGCTTCCCACACCCGCCCAAAGAAAAAATAAAAGGGTAACGTACCAGCACCAGGCACTGTTATACGTACCAGGGCATGGGAGTAATGGAGCCAATAGAACAAAGAGGGGGCAGATGGGTAGACAGCCAGATGTATAAAAGCAAAAAGCAACAGCAACAGCAAAAGGTAGATCAAGGTGCCCAACAAAGGCAGAGTAGGCAGGGAGGACATGAAAGAAAGAAGCACAGCACAGAGGCCGAAGGAAATGCAAAGGACATACATAAAGGAGTAGAGCATACAGCAGGGAAGGAAACAGGGCGCAACAGCATCAGCCGGGTACATTGTTCGCCACATGTGCTGCCTCAGCCGCCCTACTCGCTTCTACAGCGGTGCCCGGTCGCTGTTCCTTCCCCCCCACCGCCGCTTCCCCGACTCTCTTTCTCGTCGGTCCTGAGATGGCCGTACTCTCTGCTTCTGCTTACCTGGCGCGCTGGCGCTTCGCGGACGCTTCCGCCTCCTGCCTGTGCCATTTCCTCATGTACCATGCCGCCCCGTCCTTGACCTTGTTTTACCACACCTCCGGGTCCTTGGCGCTCTCTTTCCATTTCCCCCCTTCCTTTTCCTCTCCCATGTTGAAGGCCACGAGGTCCTCTCCTAGACGAGACACCCAGTCGCTCTCCTGCCCGCCCCGGTATCCCACGCCCCCCGCCATCGCTCCTAGCAATATGCGCTTGGGGAGGCGGTTGTCCTCCATGCTCATAACAAAGCCCGCGAAACACTGTTTTTGCGTGTCTATGTGTTTTTTTTCCTGTCGTGCTGAGTAATTCTGATGATGTGTCGGAGTGTTGTCCGTGCAGTATTGAGACTATCTGTGTGTGTGTTTTCGAATTTCGTACACATCGCTCCGTCCTGGCATTGTAAGGATGCGACGCCTCACGTCAACGGCGAATGTTTTCATGTGTACCCCCCCCCCCTCGGTGCTGCAGATTTTCTTTTTCCTGGGGCGTGAGAAGGTCGTAGGCGCCGGCAGCGGCACCATGTGGGAGTGGTACTTCCGTACGTCCCTCGACCACTGGTCGACCTTCCTGGGCATGATCTTCGCGCTCAACTACCCCGCCACGGCCCAGTGGGTGAAGAAGATCGAGTCCCTGCCTTTCGGGCGGCAGTGGGCCATCAAGGGCTCGGTGGCCGCCGTCCTGCTGTCGGCTACCGCCTGGTGGGCTGCGAACATTCTCCCGGTATGCACCTGTTTGTGTGTGTGTGTGTTTTTTTTTCTTTAGTTATTGGCATCCACCGCGCTTACTGGCTGACCAATGAAAAGACGTCAGGCTGAGTGTGTGTGTTATTAGCATCGACCGCGCTATGCGGTTGACCGATGAAAAGACGTCAGTCTCACGGCGGTTGGAACTACGAAGTGCTTATAAAGGCCACGATCTGTGTGTGTTTGTGGTCACATGCATACGAAGAGCGAGTTTTGGCCGTCATTGTCCCTAACGTGTTTTTGTCTTGACGCCTGTGATGCTCTTAAATTGCACGAAAGTCCCCCCTCCCCCGTTATGCACACACACACACACACACGTGGCCCCGTGCTGTGCGGGCGCGGACGACCAGGAAGCGCTTTTCGCGTGTTGTTTTCCGTTAGAAGGCTGGCATCTCTTCATTGGTCAGGCAGTTAGCACCGTCGGTGCTGGTAATGACACACACAACAAACACCCCATGATTGAACCGACACCGAATGACTTTGGTGGCCAGGGTTCGGAAACGTCTGTATCGCTGGCGCGAAAGCAACCCTTCCGTCGCCGCCCCTGCCGGCAGGAAATGGCGAAACAACCAACGTCCTGTGGTTCCCCGTCCTGGCTGCTCCCTAGTACCTATGCCTAACCGTCCGCATAATTGTGTCATCGTCCCGGCATCAACCAACTCGAGAATCTCGTGTATAGTCTGTCGTCCCCCCCCCGGGTGCTTTCCCATTGACCCTGTATCGACCAATTCCCAGCTCGAGAAGCTCGTGTACAGTGTGTCGTCCCCGTCCCCCCCGCTTCGCCATCGATCCCGTTTCGACCAATCCCCTCGTGTACAAATTCGCCGTCCGTCCCCCCCTGTGCCCAACATGGACCCTGCTGCATGGACCAAAATCCCAGCTCGAGAAGCTGGTGTACAACCAGAAGAACGCCTACTTCGGGGTGGCGATCCCAGTGCTGACCTACATCTACGTCCGCAACCTGACGCCCCTGATGCGCACGCGCTACCTGGAGCCGCTGCACTCGCTCGGCAAGATCACCCTGGAGACCTACCTCATGCAGCACCACATTTGGCTCACCAGCAACGCTAAGACCCTCTTGGTGGTGGTCCCCGGAAGCCCCAAGCTGAACATGGTGATCGTGACCGTCTGCTACGTCTTGGTGAGCCGCGAGCTCTACCGGCTGACCATGTCACTCCGCGGAATGTGTCTCCCGGACGAGCTCTCGGCGTGCCTCAGGAACCTGGCGGGCATCGCCTGCACCGTCGCCGCCTGCGTGGCCGTGGCGAAGGTGATGAAAACGCCTTTCCCTATCATTTGTTTTTTGCCGCGGTGTGGCATGGTGGAACCGCTGTTGGTGGTAGTCGTGTTAGTGGTGTTGATGCGTTTCTCCGGACAAGCTGTACGCGTACCCGGAAGCGGCCGCGGTCTCTCTTGTCGTTGTCGTGTGGTGATGTTGTCGATGCGTTTCCCTGCAGGCCTGAGGCAGCGGTGAGGAAGCACGGCCCAGGTTGACGCTACTGCGGCATTTGCTGCTGTTGCTTCCTAATCGGCCCCGCCCCGCCCCGCACCGGCAACGGTAACGGCAATGACGACGACGAAAACGAACAGGCGCTCCTGGTGGCCGGAGCCGGCCCCGCCGCCTGCGCGTGCGTCATCGGAGCCATCGGGTTTGGCCTGGTCTTCGCCGTGCACAAGCTGCTGCTTGACGCCGGTAGCCGCGGCGGCGGTGGTGACCTTAGCATCGGGGACGGAGCCGGGAGCGGCGAGGAAGTTTCCGCCTTGGCGAGCAGACCGGCGTCCTACGACGGGAAGCTACTGAACGCCTGCAACGTGGTGAGTGAGAGGGAGGGGCTGCTTGCTGTCATGGGCAGGGGGGGGGGGGGGGGGG